CAATAAAGAGAAAATCATTGAAGCACAAGGAGTTCTGTTCGATATCTTATGTCTTTGTGATTCCTTTTCTTGTATTTCCTTTCATCATGTTCCAAGACTTAACAATGTCGATGCAGATGCTTTAGCTAAGGCAGCACTGCTGAGACTTGAAAGCTCGGTTTGAGCTCTTATCATTAATGGAGGTTTGTTCAAAAAAAAAAAAAAAATATTAATAATAATAGAGAAAATTATTGGGGCAAGCTATATAGATTTGGTCTTTGGGATCATGATGGGACAACACAATCAACACATGGACGATTCCATGTACATGAACCAAACTCTGTTAAATCGTCCACAACACAATTCCATTGGTAGATGCATGCCTCATCGCAACTAAAATGATAATTTCTCTATTTTATTTTTGAAAATACTAGAAGAAAATAAGAACATGTGCAAGTGTTCCCTAGCAGGGAAAACATAGATGCAAATAATGAGAAGTAACTATAAAAATGTGGGAGTTTGTTGTCCATATTTGAGCTATGTCCATGTGAAAGCTCCTCTCTTATCTTTCCCTAATATTTGTATTTGTGGTTTAGCTTTGCCACTTAGCCAAACAGCATTACTAAACATTAACAATCTGATCATTCTCCTATATTAGTTTTACCGGGACAACGTCACTAGTTATGAAAAATGATAGGGTAATTTGATAATATTGATTTCATATATATAGGGTGCACAAAGTATTACTATATGAAAAATGATAAACGTAATATGATAATATTGATAAAAATAATAACTGAAATGACGTATGTAACGTGGCTTTAAATCTATAACAAAATTTTACAATAGCTCAATTTTTGTTATAAGCCATGTGTATTATGTTTGATGTATCTGTAAGTAAACAAGTTTGAATGGTTCCACATCTCAAAAGAATCCAGGAAGAAAAAGACATTCGAGCACTGATGGATGCTATAGACTTTAACTTAATTACATGTCGTCGTAATAGAAACAAAAGTGTGTTATATATCCCTGCCACCTTAATTAGCTGGGCCATCATTGCTCAACTATTTAGATGATTTGATGTTTAATATTAGAAAATATTGAACTTTATCCCACAGGAGGCCAGGAATCGGTTTGATACTACCAAGTACGATCTTATATCAGTTCGGGTTAGCTCCACCGAATATCAACTAAATCAAAAATGAAAAGAACAAGACGAGGGGAGGGAACAGGCCAGAAAGAAAGAAGCCATAACGAATTAAACAATGGTCGGACGAACAAAAGTCACATGGGATGTGTATTTTCCCAACATATTAAGACGTAATGAAAGTGATCATTCCTTCGTTCCTCCATACTCTCAGTGTAATCAAGTCACGTGCTCGTCTGCCCAAGCTGCCTGCTCTCTCCATCTCCCCTTCACGTGATTTCCCTTCATGTTTCTCTCCACCTTTCTCTTTGTTTCTTAGGGCATCTCCAAT